AGGTGTATTTTAAACCTTTTTCTAAAATACTAGGTTTAATTTAAATTTTTGAATTTTAAAAAAATAATTTAATTTAAAATAAACCAATTACGATTTAATCTTTATCTTTTAATTAATAATTAATTTAATTAATTTAAATCTTATGAGAATTAAATAATATTTACCATTAACTATTAATTAAATAATTTAAATTTAATGATAATCCCTTTTCATATATATTTTCGAAAATCAATGGATAAGGGTTATCTAGTTTTAATTATTCCAATTTAAACATTTAAAAGTAATAATTATCAAATAAGGAAACACTAGGAAACCCTAGAAATTTCGAAAATAAGGGTGGAGGCTAGCGTTTCAAAAACCCTAGCCTAAGTCGAAATTTGCATCTTTTAGGGTTTAATTTCTATAAACCCTAATTTTGATATATTCAACTGTTATGCGTATTCAATTGAAAACAAAAAGTCTGCTACCACTGATGGGATTTATTGGTTACAAAAATCATATTTTGGCGAAAAACTTAAATCTTAAGTTTGCATGCAGCCTAAAAGATCTATGTTTTCACTATTGAATGCAATAACCAATTGAACATCAAGAACCCTACAAGAACCCTAGTAATTTCAAAAATAAAAAAAGGGTTTAGAAAAACATACCTCTTGATTATACTAGTAGATAATCAAACAAAATCCTTCTTGTAGTCACTTGGAAGCTAGCACCAGAAATCTCGTGTGTCTGATGGTTCACACTCAACCCTAGCAACAAGGAGGCTTAAAGAGAGAGGAGAGAGGATATGAAAATTTTGGCTATATCTTGTGAAAATTAGATGGCCAAAAATTAGATCCCAAGGGGTCCTTTTATAGTTGAATTAGGAAACCGTAGATAACCCTAATTTGAATATTATATTAATATCCCAAATTTGGTAACTATCTACTCTCTAAATCTATAAGGGATATTCTAGAAACCCTAGAATTATCCTCCAAGAATCGTCCACCTCTCATGGAGGAAGGTTCTGGAACCTCTTGTTCAACTATTGAACAATTGCAATTAGACCCCTGCACTTTTAATTAATCTAATGAATCCAAAATTAATTATAATTAATTTATAGTTTACTATTAATTAAATAATACTATTTCTAATTAATATCTTATTTTCATAACATATTAATAAATTCATTTATTGCTATTTATTAATCATATAATAAATCAACAAAATCAGTCTTTCTCTCTAAAAGTCATGTTATTAAATTACTAGGTCTGAGGGCAACCTAAAAGGACTTTGCTAATAATTCAAGTATATACTAAGTCAGTTATTGACTTAGACACCTAATCCAACTATATATATATATATATATATATATATATATATATATATCATTAT